CCACCTTCATCCCTCCCATCTGCAATTCACAGTAGGGCTTGTGCTCCTATGAGAATCACAGGTCCTGTTGATGTGAACGAAGTGGAGCTCAGGCAGTAATATGAGCACTGGAGACAGGTTATCAAGACAAGCTTTGCTGGTTTGCCCACAGCTACCTGCCCGCTGTGCAGCCCAGTTGGAGACCCCGGATGTGAGTGACACACAACAGGCTCTGGAGATTAGGACACAGTTTTCCAGGGTGCCTACTGCAGGAGTTAGTTAATAGCGTTGGCGCTAGGTCAACATATCTGGGTCCAAATCTAGATTTTATTAATTAATGCCTAAAGTATCTTGAGAAAATTATTTTTTTTCTGAAATTATTTTCTTACCTATTAAATGTGGCTATAGAAAGTACAAGTTTCACAAGGTTTTATTGCCTAAATTAGTTTTAAAAATTACACCAAACCCAGTACAGTTAGCAATATACACATAGTAGAAGTAGTCTCCATACAAATTGTGTATCTATCTAAAACAGTACCTTGAAGGGCTTCTGAGCACAATAACAAAACTGATTTGTTTAGAATCTCAAGTTCTGATTTAGTATGAGGAATCATGTTTCTTTTCCTGTGTAATAAGTCAGCTTTCTCTACATGTTAACCAAAATATTCACAGTTATATTTTTCAGTCTAATTTTCTTTTTTAAAAAATCTGAGATTCTCAAAAGAAAACAATATTTGATTGCGAACAGCCAGCCGAGTATTACACTGGGAATATGCATGTTGCACTAAACTATGGATTTACTCAAGGTGGTCGAGGCAAAAACAAAAATGAAGATTACATCAGAGAGTTTGAAACAATGATCTTAAGTCATAATGGTTAATAACAAGAGTGGATGATTCAGGGTCTAACAGACAGTTGCTGGGCAGATGTCCCGGAGGAAACACTTGCATGAGTTTGTGGTGGCCTCTGGACAAGCCAGAGGCTCTGATAGTCTTTTGTGAGAGTTTCTTGCAAACAATCATGTGTAAGAAATCTCTCATAACTTCCAGGCTTTATCTACAAAAAACAAAATTAAGTGAGGGTTCACATCCATTTTGGATCTGACAACTTTTCCATTTTCTTCCAGAGTAATGACATATATTTCCCTTACTTGTACGAAACATTTTTAGCCAATATAGCTGATGATAGTTCTGGAGACTTCCTCGAGATTCTGATACTTTGCTTCTATAAGTTCTTTCTTTATAGAAGTCTCAGAAGTCAGCAATGGTCACTGTGCTTGTATCTAGAATCTTATTCTCTTCTGGCATGGGCAATCAATGTTTAATATAAAGTGTTTAGCAATTGACAGCTATTGGGATTTGCTTTTTGTAATGCGCTTCTCAAAATACTACTTAGGTGCTTCATTTATTCAACCAGTGCTGGCTATGAGTACAAGATCTTTCGTCTCTTTCTAATTTTCATCTATATGCTGCCAACCACAAGACTACAAACAGCTGGACTGCAAAGGGAACGTGGGACACTTTGGAAAAGTCTAGCTGCTTCTCGATCTGGAACTGGGTCTCCTCACTCCCCTCCCATGCTCAGCTGGCAACACACCCTGAACACTGTCCTCTCTCTCAATCACTGGCTTTCCCTGGCACAACACTCAGACACGTAAGACTGCTATGGGATAGGATCTATATTCACAGACAATTTCCACCGCTTAAAAGCCCTGGGTTCAATACACGAGAATACAAACAACAACAACTACAGAGCCTCTATAGTTCTGACCCTTTCTTCTGAAATTCCTTAATCAACTCAAACTGACTTTCTCTGTGAAAACATTCTAATGTCTCCAGGGAGAATTTTTGCTTTCTCTTGAGTGCTGTAGCTGTTCCTGTAGGGCACAAGAACATCATGTGGGTAGTGTCATGACGTGTTTGCCAGACTTCTAACCATCTGTAGCCGGTAAAGGCCCCAGGCAGAGACCGACCTGTTTCACCTTTGTACTCTCAACATCTGACCCAGAACACGCCATTTATATGTGTATACTAAATGAATGAATGGGTGAAGACAAGGCTCAGAAAGGAAAGAGGTATTAAAAGAAACATAAAAGGAGATATAAAACCTGGAGAAAACACTGAATAAGGTACTGAAGTGTTGTGTGTTGCAGTGTTTCAATGTTTATAAAGTAAGTATCGGAACTTTTTTGGAATGTTTTAGAAATTACTTTTGAAATTAGAATGCTATTCATTTTCTTCATGAGTTCACTTAATTATATATGCATTGCAAACTAAACATTATATAAAATAATACTATTAGTTCATATATGTAATATTACTCCTAATGTGTAGTGAAGCTTGTTGGAATATTAATGTAACATTTAAGATTCTGCAATTTAAAAATAAGAAAATAGTGAGAAATACTGTGCTTTAAGTCCTGGAGAAATTAAACATTTTATTTACCATACCTTTGTACAGCACAGCTTTATAAATCTATTATTATCATCTATTAACTATTGAAAAGAATTAATTTGAAAAAATAGTGTGTTCTGTAGAAAACCGAATCGTTTGTCCCAGGCTCTTTGCATTAATGTTTTGAGTTCTATTTCCTTAAATCATGTTAAATGAAAGTCATATTATGAAAGTCACAAATGAAAATCCAATGCTAAGAAAAATAAACAGAGCACGTAATTTTGCATGAATGTAAGTATTTCAATATGAGCAATTAGTACTCCAAAGAGAAGGAAAATGTAGACGTGACCCTCTGGGAGAAAGGGACTATAGTGGAGTTGTGTTCGTTGGTTCATAACTCACACAGGTCAGAAAAGCTCACTGGAACCGGTGAGAATGGGAAACCTTTCTCTTATCCAGAGATTCACCCAAAAATGTCTTAAAACATTGAAGCAATTATTGATCCAACTGTTTTCCAAACAAGTTGGACAACATAAAATGAACTTTTTATAAAGGGGCACTGCAAATGTTATTAAAAAGCATTGTTCATTAAACTTCAACATTGTCCACATAATTTTAACATTTAAAATTTAACAAATTAAACACACACTTAATTTTACTACACACCAATTTACTAAATTTATATTTCAATGTGACTCATTCATAAATCATTTTCAGCTAAGTAAAATATTACTACATCGTGGAGATACAGAGAAGTACCAAGTGTAAGGAAGTTAATAGTCAATGATTTCATTTAGACAGTTTAAATAGGTATAAACGTCTTTAAATTAAAAACACTTGGAATTCATGTTATTTTAAAAACTTTAAGACCTGGGGGTTTTTAAGTAGTGCCTATGCCAATGAAATGAGGCTGACTCGGGCTCCTGTTGGCAGCACGTGGCTCTCCGTAGTTCATTCCTTCTGCTCCTTGACTGACTGGCTGGCTGACTGACTTGACTGGCTGGCTGACCGACTGACCGACTGACTGACTGGCTGGCTGGCTGGCTGAGTGGCTGACTGGCTGACTGGCTGGCTGACTGGCTGGCTGACTGACTGGCTGACTGACTGGCTGGTTGACTGGCTGACTGGCTGACTGGCTGGCTGACTGACTAGATGACCGACTGGCCGGCTGGCTGACTGACTGACTAGCTGATAGACTGACTGGCTGGCTGGCTGACTGACTG